ATGACAACTGCGACGTGACAAAACTGCAGTGTCCTCTGTGAGAAACAAAGCCGTCGCAAGGCAAATGGTTAGAGAGAAGAAAAAAAGTTAAGAGAAGATCGGGACGAGGGGACGGACGGACGTGGGAGGGGGAAGAGGGGCAGAAAGGACACGGAGATGGGGAGGGGGAAGGGGTGAAGCACGACACGTGAGAGACAGTGTCCCGTGGTGACAGAGCCAACCAGAATCACATGTCACGGCAACGCACATGCAAAGTCATCAAAGACGGATTAGAAAATAACGCCCAAAAAGTACGACTGGCACAAAGGCTGAATATATGAGTCAAAAACAGTAAAAGTAAGGTATAGAGGTATAGAACAAGATAGGAACCGAGGAGAAAGATGAGTTTTCAAACGCAAAGAGTAATCCTAGAAGCTATGCATTGTGTAATAAGGCTTTTAAGACAACATTTGATTGTTCCAAGCTCATACCCTTTCTAACAGCAGACATAGGCATATATCTAAACGAAATCGAAAGTGTTGTTTATTGAAACATGGAAAAGTCGTTAACATGCAGCATTTAGTACTCCCCGCTGGGTACCACTTCCACAAGTTACAAGTCAGTTTTGAAACCAGTTACAACAACGGAGCTTTACCGTTGCGGGAGAATAGTTCGCTGGCATTACATGCAACGATAAACCGCGGGGGTAGGCAAAGAAATAGCGATACAGAGCCGGACCGGAGAGGGTTTCGCTTGTTCTGGTCAGAACAAAGACATGCCCCGTTAGAGATGCAAAGCAGTGCCTCAGTGACAGCCGAACGCGCATATCAATATTTAATCAACAAGGAACAGCAGTGTCCGATGCACGAACCCCGGACCGTGAGGGTTAATGCTCGAGCTTGTCAGATAGAATGGTCCAAGTTAAAACCCTCCATTTCCACATCATAACCCTTCTCAGACTCGCTTCTTTTTGTTCTGTCTACTGCTCAATTTATTTATCTTTGTACGTGGAGGCGCATGTATGTGGATATATAATATGTGTGTGGAAAGGAGGGAGAGTGGGAGTTTGGGGGGGGGGGTATGTACATGATTGACTGTTCGTCTGCATAAGCGCTTAAAATATGAACAGGAAATGCGTATGCTCACTATAGGCTGTAAAGTCTCATTCACAAAGTCTTTCTTCTTTTCTCATTTCTTTAGTGTGTGTGAGCCTATGTGTGTGCACGCACATGCTTGTGTCCATGCACTAGGGGGAGTGGGTGGTTGTGCATTTGCATGTATAAATGTCTGTCAGTCAGCCTGTTCTTTTCTCTTCTCATGTGTGTGCGGGAGTGAGCGAGTTTGTAACAGTCACTGCTCATCTCTCAATCTCAGTCACGTGCCTGACTTTCTCCCTCACTCCTTATTGACCACTGCTCGACCTTTGTCTTCACTAGCCACGCGACAGCGGAAAAGGGCGCGAAAATGATTAATTCAAACAATCAGACATTAACAGACGAAGGCTCAAGACGGAGCACGTGCGCGCTGGAGATTAGGACAGGGCATGGCGTCATGTGACCCTCATCCGGCCAATCAGACATGGGGGTCGTTAACAGTCTGGAAGAAATAAACTACACACAACAAGACCATCCGTCGCGCTAAAACACAAATTCCCCACACCCTAAAGTCATAGAGCGCTTCTTATTTTATGGGACCAATTCATATTTTAAAACTTCACAATTCAGTGCAAATCATCAGTAAAATCATTAATAAAAACAGAATCTCTGTATCTGTATTATAAAGCTTGAAGAGCTTATATCTATATTGCAATTTGTTGCCCCCCCCCCCTCCCCAGCGGAAAGTGTGCGTTTTATTTTTAAAGATATTTCTCTGCCAGGAGTGGTACCATTATCATGCATATATAACCCAAATCAGACACTCAAAATTACACTCCTAAACCGGAGGGAAGGCACACATTTCCACAGGACCAAATCTCAGAACAGACATAACATCCTCCTCCGCCTCCCCAATTACCTAATCCTCCTCCTCCTCTTCATCATCATCATCATAACCATCATCATCATCATCATCATCATCATCATCATCATCATAACCATCATCATCATCATCATCATCGACATCAAATTGTGTTTGCAGATGCATGACACTATTGTACCGACATGAAAGCATTTGACAACTAGCGAGGACCCACAACCGCCCTCCTTCTGTTTCTCAACCTATCCTCTTTTATAGTTCAAAATCATGAACACTCGGGATCTGCCAGCCTTTCAGCTATCATGCACGGAGACAACCCGATCCCAGGGCGCCATCTCACAGATTGTTTGTCCGCTCGTGCGCGCGTGGCCCAGACCCAGGGCCGCTCTAGCCGGACTATCGGTTTCCCGCCTCAGAACCCCCGCTCCCTGGCCCGGCTAATCACGAAGCTCATCCAATTCGATGAGTGTAAACATTTTACCCACGAGGGCTCAGCACTGTTGGAAAAGACGGGGGGCGTGTGTGTGTGTGTGTGTGTGTGTGTGTGTGTGTGTGTGTGTGTGTGTGTGTGTGTGTGTGTGTGTCTTTAGAGAATATGTGAGCGTATGTGTGTTCTTGCTTTTGTATGTGTGTGCGTGCGTGCGTGCGTGTGTGTTGTTTACAAAGTGTGTGTTTGTGTAAATGGATGTGGGAAACGACGAGAAAAAAATATGCAAAAAGCAGCCAGCGGAGAACAAGCAGGATTGGCAAAAATCCAACAGTAAAACCAAAAATAACCACTTTTTTGGGTAAGTCACATTGACACCGAGTACACCGGTCAGAGACCATAATATTATGGGTACCTATGACTTTGCTGACCATTTGGGACGCTTTATGGTAAAAGAGAGAGAGACAGACAATGAGATCGATAACGGTACATAGATGGATGGGGAGGGGGAGAAAAAGAGAGAGAGAGAGAGAGAGAGAGAGAGAGAGAGAGAAAGAAAGAGAGAGAGA